TGATGGTGATGGTGATGGTGATGGTGATGGCGATGCTGATGGTAATGATGGTGGTGATGGTGGTGGTGGTGGCGGTGGTGGTGATGGTGGTGGTGATGGTAGTGGTGGCGGCTGTGGCGTCAGCGGTGGTAGCGCTTGTTGTTCAGTCCCCGCTCCAGCACCACCACCACCACCACCACCACCACCACCACCACCACCACCACCACCACCACCACCAACAGTGTTTGTGTTACCCAGAATGAGGATGCCACATTTCTTTCGGTCGCAGGAGTTCTGGCGTCTTGGGATTCCCCGGGTTCTCTGGGCGAATGTTGGCAGGTGAGGTAGGTGCAACCACGAGGGCTGAGTTCACAGGTGTTTGACAGACATCGCTGCTTGGGGTTGTGGAGTCCTCTGCACCCTACAAGTACCAGAGCTTCAATGTTACTCCTAGACCCAGGATGTCAAGAATCCCATACCTAAGACCCTGAAGATCCCAGGTTTCGCACAATGGAGAGCCGCGACGAGGTGACGTTTTTGAGTACTCTACATGGGTGGTTGTCAAAATTATGGTTCCTTTTTTGGGTACCCTAAATATTAGGTGCCGTATTATAATCGGGATCCAAAAAGGGACCATAATTTTTGACAACCACCCACATGTTGTAGGCTGTTATTTCAGTAGCGGAGAATCGAACTGAGAATCAATCAGAAACTGAAATGAAAACGAAGGTATGCAGGATTCATATGGCAAGTTTTTCAAATCATTGTCCCTCTCGGGGTCAGTATTGCAACTGCTGCAAATATGTAGGATCTCCAAAGGGGAACATAATTTTGCCAGAGTAACAACCAGATATCAAGGTCCATAGCCTAGAATGCTAGGCCCTAGAAACATGTTTCCGTTTGCTTCTTGGTTTGAAATGGGGGCTGCTAACTTTCAATCCCAGCTTTCCGCAGTTAGTGGGATGGTGCGAAACATAGGTTGTCAATGGACCGGCCACTGGGGGAACCAATCATTCGCCAACCTCTGCAGCAGTTCGTCATCAACTGGCTGATGTGTAGCCAGGATAACGGACAGTCTTCGTGTAAAGCACTGACGTACGCCAGGGATTGCTGCCCAGCAAGCGTCTGAACATGCGAGTTGGCTTAAACTTTCATCGCCCAACAAAAAAAGCAGCGTTCCAGCCTACTGGACGGACAGGAAGATGCCAAAATCCTCTGAAGGACGCCACTCTTTTGCCAAGCTGCTTACACAGTTCTCTGAGACAGGCCCTGAAGAACGAGGCCTTGGCCTGGGAGCGCAAGGCGGAACTCTGCCGGAACAGCGGCGACAAGGTGCCCAGGAAGGAGGGTGTCATGGATGATTCTCGTGAGTTGTGGGCCCTTGTATCAATTCCAGTAACCAGGGGTCCCATGTGTACACACCACTCATATGGAGATTCGGCTGTAGGGCCATGTAGGCATTTGTGAGGGGCCTACATCTAGAAGCTGTGTAAGTCTTCCTTCTCTGTGCTTTTTTTGTTGCGTTGTACTTTGAGATTCTGTGTCGCAACGTTTCAGCTGCTGCGTGGGACATCTTCATGCTGCCATAAGAGAGAGGGAGAGAGAGCTAGATATCTACACATGTTTTCTTAGAGATATGTTACTATGCAAGTGTGCGTCTCATTGATGCATGCCAAAGTTATAGATTGTAGCCGAACAAGCTCACAGCTTCCTGCTTCGGCGCCATGCCATCCAAGACTTCTTGAATGCATCACTCGCACCCAGTCTTTTTGAGAGACGTCCACAGTCCCCTTGCCCTAAACCTCCACCTACCGCCGTGTTCCCAGCCCCCAAAGATTGCAAAGGCCGGAGAGCTGGATGGCATGCAGCGTCCCTTGGATCGTCTCAGCACATCCCCGCTGAGTTATAACATGGCGGGTCTCCCTTAAAGTTAGCACTCCTGCTAGGGGCAACGCCAGGGGTATCGTATTTGTTGGATGCGATCACAGACCCCCCGATACAAGGAGAAAAATGAGGCAATCCTCCGCAATATTCCTACGCATAAGGTGGTCAATGCAGTATTTGTTTACTGATGGTTCTTACGCTGGGTCTTCGATGTCTTTGGTGGTTTCAACTTTGTGCCAGCTATGCCCAATGCAATCCATCTCTATGTACATATGGGTGGTTGTCAAAATTATGGTCCCTTTTTGGGTCTCTATTATAATACGGCCCCTAATATTTAGGGTACCCAAAAAGGGAACCATAATTTTGACAACCACCCATATCCCTCTAAAATCCCTTGTAAGATGCCCTGCTTGCAGCCTTCTGGCCCTCAGGCCTCTTCGAGGCACGGGAGCGGCGGAAGACCATCCGTCGGCGCCTCCTCAGCCTCACGGAGCGGGTGGAGTACCTGCAGAAGGCTGGCAAGACCTTTAGAGGCTTTATAACGGGATTTTATGTGGTTTTCATAGGGTTTAGGGATGTTCCCCCAAGGATATTCCCCCAACAATGGAAAATCAAATAGAAAAGAGCATGGAAAAAGACATGGATGCTGGAAAGACTGGCATTGTTGTCATGGTCATCATCCTCGTCATCATCATCATCATCCATCTGCTATCATCTTCGTCATCATCATGATCACGTGCACCATGTTCGCCAACATCACAACAACCGGACCCATCTTCATTTCAAGACGGCCATGAGCTCAAAGATATTGACATGGTGAGCAGTCGTAAGAAGCAAGGCAAGCTCGCTAAGAGTTCTAGGACCCACAATCACACAATCAGAAATAGAATACCATGACTGTAGTTGCAGTATCTGCGTGCAGCTCACTCTTCCACCAGCCATGGCTTTCCTCACGTTGCCGCTCCTGGCTTTGACCCCACTGGTGGCCCAGGCCAAGCCTCATGTGCTGTTCATCCTGGCGGATGACTACGGCTGGGGCAACATGGGTGTACACCGGAGGAGTGCTGGTTCGACACCTGAGGAGAAGCAGGGCAAGGCCGAGGTGCATACTCCGAATATCGATGCTCTGATTGACGAGGGCATTTTGCTAGAGCGTCACTACACCTACAAGATTTGTTCGCCAACACGTTCTTCTATCCAGTCTGGCCGCCTCGCAGTGCATGTGAATCCTGTGAACTCAGCGGTTACTTCCCGCAACTACAACGATCCCGTGAGTGGCTATGCCGGCATCCCCAGGAACATGACAGGCATCGCCGAGAAGTTGCGGGATGGAGGCTACAGGACTCACATTGTCGGGAAGTGGGATGCAGGCATGGCCACGCCTGAGCACTCGCCCAAGGGTCGAGGGTACGAAACTTGGTATGGCTACTACCAGCACGCCAACGACTATTGGCACAAGAGTACTGTTTTCATGGCCACTGGAGAGATTGATGCCTGCTTGAACCGCATGAAGGATTTGTCCATGCACAACGAGACGTACTCGGGCCCTGTGCGGGATGCTATCTCGCTTTCCGCCGCCTGCCAGGAAGATGAGGAGTCGGATCCGGGCTGCTATGAAGAGCACCTCTTCAAGGAGCAAGTGTTGAAGATCATCCGGAATCACGACACTGCAAAACCAGAGAATCCGCTTTTCCTCTTCTACTCCTTCCACCTCCTCCACACACCTTTGCAGGTCCCAAAAGCTTGGCTTGAGAAGTTGCACAAGCTGGTGGCTGAGGCAGGGGGCAAGCGCATTGACAGCGGCCTCAGGCTCCTCTACGCGGCGATGACGCTTTACATGGATGCTGCCATCGGCGAGGCCGTGAATGCGCTAAAAGAGAAGAAGATGTATGATAACACACTGATCATCTTCACCTCCGACAATGGCGGCCCCATCTACCCAGCAGGTGCTTCAAATTACCCACTGAGAGGTGGCAAGTACAACGACTGGGAAGGCGGTGTTCGCACTAACGCTTGGGTTTCCGGCGGCTTTGTGCCAGCGCAGAGGCGTGGGGCCAAGTTTGATGGAATTATCAATGCGGCTGATTGGTATGGAACGCTGACGGAGTTGGCGGGGGTCGAAATGGTGGATCACAAGTCTGAGAAGGCGAACGCCTTCCTAAAGGAGAAGGGCTTGCCATTGCTGCATCCAGTGGACAGCATCCCGCAGTGGCAGGCCATCGTCAGCAACATGCCTGCTCGCACAGGCCCGATGCATCTCAGTTCCCAGGCGGTGCTGCAATGGCCATACAAGCTGGTGACAGGCAAGCAGGCAATGAGTGCCTGGCAAGGACCATTGTATCCTAACTGCTCCACAGTACGTTCTATGCAGGATCACAATGGACCGCTGCCTCCACAGCAAGATGTGAAGGTTTTTGGTGAGCCACTGCCAGTAGCAGAGACGCCGGCGGAAGTTGACAGGCAGACGTGGGTTATTGACTGTGGGGCAGGTTGCCTGGTCAATGTCGAGGATGATCCGACCGAGCATGTCGACCTTGCGCATGATCCCAAGTACGCAAAGCTATTGAAGTCTCTGCAGGAGACTCTGGAATCCATGAACAAGGAGCTGTTCAATCCGGACCGTGGTCTCGATCGAGTAGAGGCGTGCGAGGTGGCGATTGAGCAAAGCCGGACATTTGGACCCTTCGTGGACTCGAAGGAGTTCTACAGCCCCGCACCACCAAAGACCTTGTTGGAGCAGGTCGAGGATGCGGCCCTGACAGCGGTGATTCGCAAAGTCACTCAGTTCATCTTAGTTTTTCTCAATTGAGCCCCCCGTTTTCTTGAAGGGAAAACCCTAGCTGGTCAATGGAGACCGTGCGCCAAAAGCACTGGTGTATGTGTAGTTAAATGCCTCCCGGAATTCAACTTTTCCGGAACTAACGGGTCTTGTAATTGCCAGAGGAACCTGTATGGTTTCATGAACCAGCTGAGCAGTGCAGCCTTTGCTGCGGCTGCACGCGAGCCTCTCCCCTTGTGACTGAGGCCAACAGCGAGACTGCCAAGCCCCTGCTGATCGCAGCCGTTCAAACCATCTCGCCGAAGGTGTTCACAAATATGGCCTGGGACAAGTGCCTGGCACCCGAGAGCCAGCCATCTTTCCTCGATGCTGGCATTCTCACCGTCTAAGCTTTCAAAGGGCGCGGTTTTCTGCAAGCGCTCGCAACAGCCGAGCATCTCATTGCTTTACTATTGCATTACATCCGTGATCCGACTTTCAAGCTTTGGATCAAGCATCATTGTCAGCTGGCTGTGCAAAGCAGTGTGCTTGTAATAACCGTAAAATCAGCAGAATCGCTGGACAAAATCGAATGCTGGACATCATTGGATGCGGAGTAGTTGGAATAGTTGTTATTTATCATCGTAATAACAGTACAGTAATAGTAATAATAGTAATAAAACATGGTTTCCAAGCTTGTTTTCTGTTGTCAGCTTCGCTGCTGGTCTGCTCTCACGTGCTCCATGCTCATGGCAGGTTGTCTTTGAAGTCCGGCGGAAGAAGGAAGTGACTGGGACGCCGATATCAACAAAATATCATGCTCTGAAGTGGGACCTCTCTCTCTCTCTCTCTTTGTGATTTCGTGGCTTGTTCCAGTTTATGTAAGGGAGTTCTGGGCCTCATCCCAGGATCTTGGCATAGACGCGGAGTCTCCAAACGGCCAGAAATTGGACTTTCCATGCGTAGGGGAATCTATTAAGGGATCCTTCCCGAATGAATTCCTACATTCAGACTCCCTTGTATTGCGTTGCAAGGTTGTATGCTCATGAATATCAGGTACGCTACATGTTTTTGCTTGCTTGTCATCCAAATTATGTTCTGACATTCCCATTCAGAAGCCCAGAACCTGCTTTTTACCAAGGCCAAACAGGGTTCCACGGGCGCGGGCACTGGGGGTACCGCCGGCAGCGCTGCTGCGGGGAAGCGACTCTACAGATATTCACACATGATTATTACTCTTGGGATTGCCGTCAAGTGTTTGTTTAGCCTTGCTATCATGACGGTAACGCTTGTTACTATTGCTGCTGGGGTTCTCTTGGCCTTACCTTACTGTACCTGGACCCCTGAGTCTGAGGGTTGATGTTCGACTCGCACGAGTTGATATGGCTTCATGGGAGTGCCAGACTTGCTCAGAAGGATGCCAATGCACCCAAGCCACGAACCTCATGGACCGACCTTAGCTCGCAGTCTCTTAGAATGTTTGGAGTTCCTGCAGCCGCAGGCGCCTAGATCGGATGGAGTCAACTCCGGGCTTCTAATCTTTGTGTCATTGCCTCGCTTGGTTTACAACCACCTACTTGGAGGGTCATGGGACGTAGTAAGTATGTTAAGAATGAAGATAGCTGGAGTTACTGCATGGCTTATCGGGGTTGTTACTCCAACCTATAAGTCCTAAACCCGAGATAGTAGCTTCCATTTTCTTTTCCATTATCCCCTATATAACCTTTATATAATCCCTTATAAAACCCCTATATACTCCCTTTCCATGATTGGCCTACTTACTAAGTCCCCTGACTCCCCAAGTAATTGCAGGCCACCCCCTTCTGGAGCCACAGCCGGGGCGCGTGCCCCGAGCTTTGATCCTGACAAGGCAGGGCTTCCGAGTTCGGGGTTTGAGGGTATAAACCCCTATATAACCCCTATATATCCCTGTATAACCCCTATATATCATTATATATCCCTATAGTTTAGGGTTTGAGGGTTTAGGCTTAAGGGAGGGATCAAGGTGAGGTGGATCCCCCACCCAGTATTAGTCACCACAAGGGATAATGATGATTCTTTTCCGGGTCCTCTGCATATTCCTAGTCTACCAATATTACACGGTGGGGGGTCCACCTACGTCCCTAAACCCTAAATCCTAAAAACCTATTTGGGGTTTTATGGTGATTCAGCTCTTCAGGCGGATAAGGTTCCAAGGAACACTTCCTTGCAGGGTTTTCGCTGAGTTGCTTTCCCGTGTTGGCTGCCTATTGAGGGTAGGCCAGTGAGACTTGAGGGGTTGCCATGTTTGGAAGCTCGCAGGGTTTCTGTTGAATACGAAAGTCCGAGCTTCTTTTTTCATTTTTCATAAAGGAGCTGGTGGAGTCAGGCTTCTCGGCTTGCAGTGAGACAGTTATCATACTGTTGGACAGTTTCAGATCCAGGTTCCACGGCGGCTACTTGACAGGTGGTTGGAGGTAGTGATGGTCGAGCGGGGAAATTAGGAAAGTAGAGCACCAGAGTTCTGAACCAGTATCCGTTGTCTCTCAAGTACGCTGCACCGAACTCGACTTGTTGGATCCTTTGCTATGATCTCAGTAGAGCATGTATGCAACAAGGTCTCGAGATGGACTTAAGCTAGCAAAGGCTTTCCAAGCTGTTCTTCAAAGACACAGCCCTCCTTTTGCTCCATCGCTTCGTGATAGTGGAAGGCCCTCGCAGACCTGAAGCGTCAGAAGGGCAAGATCTGAAGGTGCTCCTGACAAGCACAAGGCCTTGAGTCCATGAGCTAGATAAGCATTCGACACAAGATTTGGGTCTTTATCCTGACCGGCTCGCTTGCTTGCCAGAATGCAGGTGGCAGAAAGACCATGTAGATTTTCCCATCTAATGCGCAGCGGAGAAAAAGAATCAATTGCCTTTCGGCGCAGAAGAGCCGAATCCTGGTCATCGGTGCAGCTTGGGCCACACGTGCTAAAGGATGTTGACCAGGGTTTCGTGGCAAACCCACTTCCAGTCGAAATGCAGACCACTTGAAGACTGCTATCATGTCTCAGCTGGCGGCGCCAAGAGTGTATGGCCGTCTCAGTATTTTACCATCGTCCCTTGAAAGGAGCTGCAACCACAGTCATTCTGAGTCTCACTAGGGCCTCGGCATGTGCTCAACCATACCGTGTTGAAAAAGAAGCGTTCGCCAAACATTAAATGGAGTTCCAATGCGAATTTTCAGAAACTCCTCGATAATCGTCAGGCTCAAGCGCTGAAGCATAAGCTTTTTTGTTCAGACCGTCAAGCCCTAAACCGACATCTCTCAGCCCCAAACCCAAAGCCTGTGTCATTAACTTCACCTCTTAAGCCCCGAAACCCTACGCACGATTTCTAGAACATACCGTCTGACCCCATGGCTGCTGCAAAGCTCTCGGCGGACCCCGATCTGCAGAGCCTGGCGCTGGAGGGTGAGCAACTGGACAAGAAAGGTGCTCAGAGGCCGAACCTCCTGGGCAGTTACTGAGATTACCAGCTGCAGATATGACACACTTGGAAGTATCATCACCGGCAGTACTAGTCGTCAAGGTTGCGCCGGCGGCAGTGTCGGTTCGCGGCGGGGGTGCTGGGGGTGGTGGTGGTGGTGGTGGCGGTGGCGGTGTTGGCGGATGTGTTAGTTTCAAGAGTATGTGACTCCTCGCCTTGTGAATCTCATATTCCGGCAGATTTGAAAGTCGAAGCTGTTGGGAGCTAGTTCATGGCCAGAAGAATGAAGTCGGAAAAATACGTGTTCAGTGTTCCACCTCGGCACTGCTCTCAATGTATTCACTTCCTGGTTGACTCCGGTTTCACAGCCTTCATGCAATCCTCACACCACCGAGCCCTTGGTCGCAGGCTCTCCCGCGCTCTTCTCACCCACGGCTCTCTTCGGGAGCTGGACTTGGCTGCCCGGTTTAAGGCTCATGTCACAAAGCTGATTTGACAGCGGTGGTTGTAGATCCTCTTTCGATTTCGTGGGTATGTTTCTCACCCGACACGGCATGTTCTTGGGCGTGGGCCTTGGAGCTGGAGTGGCTTGAGTTTCGGCATTCTACAGCTCATGGGGGACTTGCCATTGCCCAAAGACAAGTCTTGACATCCTGATTTCTTCTCACACATGAAAAAGTGCGCCACAGAAAGACACTGTCTTCTGTCCTGTGGCAAAAGCATATACTGGTGGTAGTGCAGTACGTGTGTCTTATTATCATCGCTATCATTTTGATTACAATTTTTTCTGCTCCTTTCATATTACTATTGCTGCTAGTATTGTTGTTATTACCATAATATTTCTTTGTGTGATTACTATTATTGTTACCTTGCTCAGAATGGTTTTGTACTTTGACCGCCGAGGCCTGCGGCTCGATTGGCGATGTGGGCATGGCTTACATTGCCGGGGCTTTGCA